AGGAGAGAGATAAGGATTAGATTAATCTAATCTAGTAGTCTAATCTTATTCTTATAATCTACTCTTATAGTTATAATCNTCTCTACTCTCTATCTACTAGTTATTCTACCTCTATATATACTAGCTACTCTAGATTCTAAAAGAATCTATCTTAGTAATAGATTACGTAATCTTGTTTCTAATAGATAGATAGATTAGATTAGGGATTAATAGATTATTTAGATCGTTAAGACCAGAGTGTAATGTTAACTTAGGTTAGGGATCAGTATCGTCTTAACATAGATTAGAGATTAATAGATATATTCTATTAGAGATTAGCTAAATAGCTTAGATCTCTAACATAGTTTACTATTATACTAACTTTACTATAACTATATTATAGTAATTATACTTTATAGAGTTATATTTTATAGTTATATATCTATTAAGAACTTTATAAATTATAACTAAGCTATTTCTAATATCTTAAATTAGAGTCTAAGAGATATAATTCTCTTAGACTTTTACTTAGTTTTTTACTTTAACTATAAAGTTTTTCTAAAGAGTTAATTTTATTAAGTTAGAGTATAGTTTACTATTCTTTTCTAGGGTAAATAACCTAATACGCTATATAGTGAATAGAGAAAAAAACTTAAGTTATAAGTTATTATAGAAGAGTATAAATTTATATTTTAAAAATAGAAAGATGACTTAAAATCTTTTTTAATTTACTATTATAATAATATAATAGAACCTTAGCGCTAGTTTATCTAGCACTGGTATCTATTATAACTTAATTACTAATAGAAAAATCATAGTCTATAGAGATCATTCCTGTATCTTCTATTTATATATTTAAAATATTTTATATTAAGCTAAACGATTATTATAATATATATAATATAAAATAAAGGTTTAAATAGAAAATATACTACATTCAAAAGTTTATTTTAAATAAAAAACTAATATAGGGTTAGATTTTACTTCGAGTAATTATAGAGGTTTAGCGTGGTGACTAAATAGGCGATAGTTCTCTCTGAGTAAAACTACTACTTCTAAGCTCTCCAAATTCTTAATTCAATCATTAATAGCTCTAAATTCCATAAAATCTTACTAGCTCAGAATCATTACCTTTTTAATTTATATTTTTTGTAGTATCTCTATAATATTATTTCTAAAATGATAATAATTTTAGAAGAGAAATTAAGAAGAATAAGAACAATTTCAGTAGTACTATTTGATTTTCTTTTAAAGAGTGTATTAAAAGAAAGTGTAACTACTCTATACATGTCTTTATGATTTAACTACTCTTTAGTACTAGGCGTTAAGAAAGCTAGTAACAGCCTAGCTAGATAAAGGCTAATGTACTATAGTTACGTAAGATAGTATAACGTACTAAACTATGTGTGACTAGTTAGATAGAATGGTCTATAGCTAAAGTTTTATATAGGCCACCGCTGATATACGACTATAATAGGATAATCATTATAATACGATTTCCCTGTACAATAACTGTGGCCGGCCTAGGTTGATCCATGTTGTTTAGTAATAGTTGGATTACACTCGTAATATGTTTTGTAAAGATGGTCCATAACTATGTGGGAGGCCAGCTATCTAACAAACTGATCCGTAGCAAATATAGGATGAGGTACAGTCGCGCATACCAGCGACGATAGGACAACGTAACTCGCCACCAGAGTCCGGATAACAATCACCCAATTTCTGGCCGTTACCACCACTCTTGTAGAACCCGAAATTTTGACCCTCTGAATAGAAGTTGAGATCGTAACCACATGTTTTACCCTGGTCTGTCGACATAAATGAAGGCGCATGACCGCGTCCATTCCAGTTGCCGAGGTAAGCGGCGTTAGATAGTCCGGCACAGTTATATGTGTTAGAATTTAGGGTAATAGCCTGCAAAACAATAGTCAGCTGATAAAGTTTTGATACGGCTCTTGGGTCTAACCTTGAGGAGTCAGAGTTAGTGTTAATATAGAAAGACTTACGGCCGCATCCTGATATGTTTGACTTCCGAGCCCACCCGCGGCCTCACAACTCATTATGTGAAAATTTGCTAAGCATGGGCTGAGAAGTATCCCAAAAGTGACGAGGGAGATGAAAGACATGCTAGGGTGTGATGGAAGTGTTTTTTGTTTGCGATTGCAGCTAGTATTAGCACGTCTCGGCTCATTTATAGTTTCGTGACAGGCTACAGAAGAGGAGTCATGGCCAGAGTAGGCGAAGGCGTAAACTCAATGTTCCGTACTAAATGCTTGTTTTTGATTGCTCTGACACTTCGGTGATACTATGACACATACGATTGGGCCCGGCTAAAACGTAAATCTAGAATTCCGTGCTAGACAGTTGCTTCTAAGTTCTGACAGATAGGGAATGTCCACACGCTAACGCTGAATCCCCCCGGTAAAAGACACAATTAGTGAGCAAGGTACACACTAAATGACTCGCCGCCTACCGCGATTGCTAGCTACATCAGGCTATATACGAGGCATAGGATAAAAATAGCTAAAATAGCAGTTGCAACGGAATGATGCACTGTCATGTCAGCGCCGCGTCTTGATGATGAGAGTGCTTGCTGTCAGTTAAATGGATTGCCTTAACGCATGTCTGCCCAGTCTGGCGCTGTAGCTTTGGCAGGATCAGATCAAAAAAGAAAACTCCGACTCGAGTTTGCTTGTTCGACTCAGATAGGAGATAGCATTTGTATAATATAGTCAATCTAGGCGGCGTGCTCAATCTCTAGGCAGAGGACAATACACCGTTCGCTGAGTCCTATCTACTTTCTATAGTACTCCCAGTGAGAATTCTAACTACTGTTATTGTCCATCGAACAACGGTAAGATTGGGGGTAACCTTATTCTGTGGTCGCAGCATATTTCCCGCGCAGTCGTACTTGTCGGCCCCCGTCTATAATGCTAATTGATTACCGTCACCAAGAGCTTCGCCGACTGAGCGTGGCATAGAAGATGTGAATGCCTGAAAGTTACCAATGTTTCCCCTACCAATATCAAGCTACTCTCTGCCACGCGCCACGATCAGCTGCCCGACCGCAGTTATACATGGCTTGAACATCGTTTTTCTCATTAACTCCCTTTATTCTTCTCGAGTTACTCTTCACCTATTTCATGTGTTTTTATAGCAATTGATCAACGGCGCTCTAAGTATGCCTAGCGAGGCGTGCACGCCATGTCGTGAGCGGAAGCTCAGGTGTGACGCCATTTCCAACATACCCTGCACCTGTTGTCGCGATGCTCATCGCATTCATGAGTGTGTCATACCTCCCAGACAGAAGCGTACAATCAATCGACACAAACGCGCCCGAATCGATAATGGTTGTGGCAGCACTATAAACAGAGAACAGCTGAGCCAACATCCCAATATCATTACTGATGATAACACTTCGTGTCAACGTCTTGATGGTAATGGAAGATTGGATTCGCTCGCTGAAGCTGCTTCGACCAACGCGCAGATGGAAGGACAGCAGCCCAGCCTCCCCGCGATGGGGTTTGGGATCACCGATTTAATCTCCAATTCACATCTGCCAGGTGAAGACTACAATCACATGAATGAAGCCCAGATCGATGGCGATTGGGGGCAGGATGTACCCCTATCTCAGTCAAACCTACAAGAGGAAAATGGTGACGATATCTTGGCACGGGTTTGTCAGGAGATAGCAACCATCAGCACACGTGTTCAGCCAACCACAACAGGGTCGTCTTGGGGCAAAGTGCTAGAGTATCACAACAGTCTCGACGCCCTAGGAATTCTGGGAGAAGTGCTGGCTGGGCGGGATTCTAGAAACCTCATCGCCATTGATCGTGGCGCCTCACATGTACGCCGCGATGATGAACTTTGCGGTCTCGACGAGCATGACATCAGCTATTTGCATAAGAAGGGCGTCTTTGACTTGCCTCCACGCGAAATTTGGTAAGTAAAGTGCTGCTTTCTACTTAGCCTCGCTGATTGCCTATAGTATGGATATGTTCAAAATTTACTTTCAATATGGATTTCCCTACGCCCCCATCATTGATCGAGCTGAGTTTCTGGTACAATTTGATCGAAAAAAGTATTCTTTGTTCTTGATACAAGCACTCTTCGCAAGTATTACACCATATACTAGCAAGGAACTCATTGCCCGCGCAGGCTTCACTGATCATGCTGATGCGCAAAAGACTTTTTACCGCAGAGCTGTCTTGTTATACGATTTAAACTGTGAAAAAGATCAGCTTGTCGTGCTACAAGGCTCCCTATTACTTGGTACATCGTGGAGATCTTATTTCATTGGAAAGGACTTTTCTTTTTGGAGGTGCAATGCTGCCCGCATCGCAGTTAAGATGGGTCTCAATAAAAGGTAATCACATCAACTCTTGAATCCGATGATGGGTGCATTTGGCACGGGCTAAGCTTAGTCGTGGTGCAGGCGTATCGCTGATGATCTTGGCGCGAAATTCTACGCGCTTTTGAAACGCATTTGGTGGACGCTTTACGTGAGTCATACAATGTGCCTACCCTCGTGAACTGAATGATCTGATCTACATAGATACGGGATATCCTGACGAGTATTTCCGGTTTAGATAACATTAGACATTTACGAGCTGGAGATTTTGACACATTACCTCTCACCAAGGATGATTGGCCTGAAGATGAAGCAACCTGCCCGCAGGGTCTCATCAGTATCTTATTCCCTGTGCAGACACACCACCCAGACCTTTTGATACACTTGTGTAAACTTGCCACGATAGATATAACAACATATTTGGCTCTCTTCCTTGTTCTACTGACCTGACTTTACAGGGAATCTGGCTCACAGTGCGGTTTTGTCGCGCAGCTCAGCGAATATGGACAAGAGCAAAATTTCTATCCTTGTTGATGATATCTTTGAGTGGCGGCTCGCCTTGCCACGCTCACTACGATTGGAATCGGTCCGAGATTGGAAGAATGAAGGCGTTTGGACTTTGGTGTTGATGGCCTGATGCTATCGGCTAGAATGCATGATTTATCGAAGTGCAAGCAAGAACTACCCGCTTGGAGACATCGAACGCAATCGAATGGCCGACTCGCTGCATAGAGCTATATTTGAGCTTGACGCAATTGTACGTAGAGCCGTCACATATCGAGTTGGGCAATTCTTGCCTACGTCCTTGTAAGTTACATGATGGCTTTGTGTCCTCAATGCCTCGTCTGATTTCCACTCTAGCTCGACTGCTGTTGCTACGCTAGTTGCATTATGCACTGAACTGTTGATAAAACCTGATATCGAACCAACCGATCAGCTGATGATCGAGGAAGCCCTGCGCACCGGAATCGCGTTCCCCATCGTATCTCAAGACACGAGGCCATCCTTATGATGGATGCTGAAGATGTTCAGTTGGGCCTTCAGGGTCATTGGACTATTTCGACACAGGTCTCCACATTGATGACGTCATGGCACAAGATGAAAGTCTGTTCACGTCTCAAAAGTCTAAATCGAACCGCGATCTTTCATCTATAGATTTTGGATTTTGGACTTTTCGAGCAATACTCTCTTCAGTACAGAGTACGTACTCAGTGTAGACGGATTCGCTTCTTGGCAGATCTAGTATGTTCTTCGAAAAGTCAAAACTATGTGGCTACAAGACCCCATGGAAAAGAAACTCAAGTGCTGTGCATTGCTTTATAGACAGCCCGCCTTTTCTGGACGAACTTGCGCAACAAGTGCATTTTTACCATGTTCAGCAAGCGCAAGCAACTTTCCAGTCACCTTGTCTCTGGCTTCAAATTGAATGACCGCTCGCCATAAGTCAGCTCTTCAAACTAAATTAAGCAATCTAGAAACGAGATGAACTCACACAGCCTTGAGCTTGCGCTCCTAAGAACACACGTCACAACTACGGTAGTACCTAAGAGAGCCGGGCGGATGTAGGTGACACTCAAAGTTCGAGAGACCCCGCCAAACTCCCACCAACCCTGTCGTGCAATAGGAGCTCCAGCCATAGTCGTGGTCATATCTGCTAGCAGAGCCATCGCGCCACCATGCATATTATCCAAAGGGTTACACAATTGAGGTACAACTTCAAGCTCGAACGTTGCTTCTGCTTCATCCCCCTTACCTTTTACATCATTTCGCGAAGCAGATGTTACGTGTATCACACTCATCAATGTTGCTTCATGCCCCTGGTGGTTAAAATGGATTAGAAGACAGATAGTACATGTTAAGGATTCTAACATCTTACGGTATAGGTCCTGTCTTTTTGATAGCGATCAATGTACTCTTGAATTCTTCCTTTCGGATCTGCAATATTTATATCAAACGGCAACGGCCCTTTCGCTGACTTTGGAAACATTCCTTTTGAACGGAGCCCTTAGTTCTAAGTGTAGGATGTAATCTGATTAGAACAATGTCTCTCGAGAAATTAACCTTGTCGTATTAACGTATATGATGGGTAAGAATGCAGCAGTGGAACATGGCCACATAGCCGCCGCGTTGTGAACTAGTCGCGTGATGATGCCGAGGTTATTGCGTAACTAGTACGTAAGCCCGAGTCAGCCCAGTGTTCCTTTGAGCTATGTCGGGCCGAGCAGGATGTGCGCGCAACACTAACCGCCGGGACAGCGCGGGGTCTTGGTCCACTAAGAAAATGGAACACATCACCAGCAAAGCATTAAAAATGGTAGCTAAACGTATGCAAGTTAGATGTTCCCAAGTCGTATTTTTGCTAGCATACTATGTTTTTGACGCCCGTAAGCTTGCCGCCACCATCCTCCATGTTCGTTTCGAATGGACCTGGCTGAGTATCCTCGCCATCCAGCAAGCCCATGTACCATGTCAGGTCTCGCTACAGTAGTGTTAGCAATCAGGCATATGAGCCTTGTATCACTTACGCCGTCTACCTCTCGTATATCAAATCCATCTCCTAAGAACGAGCATAAGTTTCCATCTAGATAAACAAAGTCGAAATGTTCGAATCTTGGACGTTGAAGAACTGTGAGTTCTCATGTAAACATTAGTGAAACTTAACATTCTGGCGGCTGGAGTGAGAGTAAAAACTTACGGTGAATTCGAGACCCGGGCCAAAGTACTGGTTTATTCGAGGTCTTGCCATTGCGGAGCCATGAGCTACAAGGACTATGATTGAAGTTGAAATTTGGATTGGACAATATACAGTTTAAGAAATTTACCCACCCCGACCAAGTTGTCCGTTTCAGATACTCATCTGCATAGCGGGTGAAGTCGGAAACTGATCTCTTGATAGACAAACGTTTCACGTTATCTGTTCGTGCTTTCTCAAGTATCTGAAGCACGTAGTCCGTATAGTGCTCGACCTTCGGTAGAACAGAACCATGAACTACGATTGTTGTTTTAGTAATCGCTTTTCGTGAAGTGTTTCCAATAATACTGACCCAAAGGTCCATATCCACCAGGAAAGACAAAGTAATTGGGAACTTCAGCCGGACAAGGGTTAGCGAACAGAAGTGTATAAACGCATTGATGCATTTGCTCAACTGTTACATACGGTATGTAAGACCTAGGTAGCCCTTGATGTCGCCACGAAAGTTGTCCTGGAGGTTTTTGCCGTTATAGAGAACTCGAAAAGGCGGCATAAATGGGGTGTCGAACCTAGTGATTTTCTTGGTCAATATGTGCTCTTTACAGGCACCAGTAAAGTATACATACCCTGTGGCGCAGATGATCGTGTCTACCTCATGTTCTTGGCCTTTGGGGTCTTTGAAGCCATTGGCAGTGATCTCAGGGATTTCACCAAAGTGAACAACTGTTTTCTCATCTGTAAAAGCCTTCAAGAAACCTAAAGGCGTATTCAGTCGTCACTTTCTCGCGAGGAACAGACAAGCATTCCCTTACCATTACCTGGGGTCGGCCTCCGACAACCAACGCTAAATGCCTTCGGGATAAGGTTTTCTATCAGGCGAGTATTATAGCCTAGCTTACGTGACATCTCTTTGATAGAGAACTATGAGCAAACAATTAACATCTGAAGTTCTCAAAACATGCTTCCAAATGACGCACCTCTTTCGCTGCTGCTGCTTCAGGAGTGTCGTTGAGGCTAGGTTTGAATCTAACATTCAACTTAGACACTATTGCCTTGCAATATGCCAGGCAATGCTTTTGGTCGTTGCGCAAGCGCTCCTTCACGGCATGGGTATCTTGAATAGAGAAGAGTTAATGAGGTGTCGTAACCGCGTATACTAGTACGCACATGTGAAGTTTCCCTCATTGATCACAGACCAATTCTGAGCAAAACTATAGTCTGAGTAAACACAGAATCCTATTGTTGATAATATTCCATGCCTACCCGTCTGTTATCCACACCAGTGGGCGCTGATTGTTGTATATCAGTAACAAAAATGGTCTTCTGACCGTGGATATGCTACTCACTGCTACAACATGTAACTCCTTTACTTTAGATAATACAGAGGGAATGACTTGTACGCCTGAACTCCCGATGCCAATGTGAAGCACGCGTTTGCCATGTAGATTGTAGTCGCGATCCCATTGAGCAGTATGCACCTCCTTTGAAGTCATGAAGACCAGTGGTGTATCAGGCCAGCGCCATCGGCTATTGATACATGGGTGATGTTAGCAGAATTCGCGAAACATATGGATAGGATAACGTGTTTTACAAGCGAGCGGCGCGTACAAGCGAGCGGCGCACCCCACCAACTTTGCACACCTCTCTCATCTTATCATACCATGGCTCCACGCAACGTTACTCAAATAGTATCAAATGAAGCAGATGTACAGCTTGCTATCTCCTCTATAGCTAGTAAACAGATCCAAAGCAATAAACATGCCGCAGCACTCTACAATATAGCTGAGACGACGCTCCGGCGCCGACGCGCTGGCAGGCCTGCCCGACGCGATTGCCNGCCCAACTCAAAGAAGCTTACCAAGCTAGAAGAGGAGGTGATTATTAATTATATACTTGATCTTGACCTACGTGGATTCTCGCCTACCTACGCAGCTGTGCGCGATATGGCTAATAGACTGTTAGCTACACGCGGCGCTGGCCAGGTTGGCGTCCACTGGCCGCGTAACTTTGTCAATCGTACAGACAGGCTTACGACGCGGTTTAATCGAGCTTATAATAGGCAGAGAGCTCTATACGAAGATCCAGTTTTAATTAAGAACTAGTTTAAGCTTGTAGAGCAGACAAAGGCCAAGTATAGTATCTATAATAAGGACGTCTACAACTTCGACGAAGCTAGCTTTATAATAGGCAAGATTACAACTCAGCTAGTCGTAACAGCGTTAGAGAGGAGGGGCCGGCCAAAGGCAGTTGAGCCAGGCAATCATGAGTGGGTGACGCTGATCGCAGCAATCAACGCAGCTGGCTGGGCAGTCCCACCATTCCTTGTCTTTGCTGGCCAGTATCACCTATCTGCCTGGTACGAGGAGGCAGAGATCCCGCGCGATTAGGTAATCGCAGTCAGTAACAATAGCTAGACGAACAACGAGCTAGGTGTCGCATAGATAAAGCACTTTAATGCCTACACGAAAACTCGCGTTATCGGCACACGTCGCCTGCTTATTCTTGACGGCCATGAGAGCCACCAGTCTCTAGAGTTTCAAGAGTTCTACAAGGAGAACAACAAATATACGCTCTGCATGCCGCCTCACTCATCTCAACTACTCTAGCCTCTTAACGTTGGCTGCTTCTCGCCGTTAAAGCGCGCGTACAGCCGCGAGGTAGAGAGCCTAATCCGCCATCACATCAACCACATCACCAAGCTTGAGTTTCTACCAGCGTTAAAGGTAGCGTTCGATCGATCCTTTACGGCAGCCAATATCTGCTCTGCCTTCCGCGGCGCAGGCCTTGTTCCTCTCCAGCTAGATGCTGTTCTATCAAGGCTTGATATAAAGCTCCGTACGCCTACTCCACCAGCTATTCTAGAGGCTCTCTAGCAGGCTCGCACGCCTAGCAACACACGCGAGCTTAAAGCTCAATTAACGTTAATACGTGATCGCGTTTAGCGGCATCAAGGCTCATCGCCAGCTTCAATTATTATAGCAATTAACCAGCTTAAGAAGGGGGCTGAGGTAATGATGCTCTCGGCTGAGCTAATGCGCAATCGGATAGCCAGCCTTAAGAAGGCGAACGAAGCCGCAACAAAGCGTAGACAGCGTAAGAAGAAGCAGATACAGAAGCAAGGAGTGCTAACAAAGGGAGCTAGAGAAGATCTACTCACTTAGCGCGAGGCTGATCAGCAGATTGCTTATAAAAAGCGTCAAGGAGGAGAGCGATCAGGTGTTAGCCGCCAGGCTCTAGCGCGGTGTAGCAGGTGTAGAGAGACTGGCCATAATTCGCGTACATGTAAGAAAGATACTCTAGATAGTGTTTAATCCACTACCTTAATATATATAAATTTTATTTAGTTATGGTAGAGCTGTATACGTAGAGAGGTGTGCAAAGTTGGTGGGGTGCGCCGCTCGCTTGTACGCGCCGCTCGCTTGTAAAATACGTTAGGCAGACTTCAAACAACCGCCACCATTGATGAAGAAATCGGCGCGGTCTTCCACAACTCCGTTGGGGCCACGGATCGTGATTTTCCATTTCCCCTGGCCCTACAGCCATTCAGCCTGTGTGATTTCGTGCTCAAGTTTTACAAAACGAAGTAGATCATGCTGCTTCGCGACATCTGCCATGTATGCGGCTATCTCATCTGACCCAGTCGTATTTTCGGTGCCTACTCAATCAACGGATTAGCAAGCATAAAGTTGGTGCAAGGATTTGGGATATATGACTATACCACGTAAATTGATAGCAGACACTAGGAATATCGCAAGCACATCTATCATACACATTTTCGTACCAAGTCCCACCAACGTTGCTCTAAATTACATGGTGTTGCTGTGTGATTCTCTTATATTCATCATGCTTACCGCTTTGCGATCAATGCTGCAGGACCCCTTATAGGCTGGTAGTTTTTGGTATTGCTTCTTTGCACAAATACTTCTTTGCATGCTCCATCATATTCTACTTCCAAACTTTCCGTGATATCAGTCATTCTGCATTGAAATACAGAAAGCGTACCTAAGTTCCACTTCTCTACATTTTCCGACTCTCACCCATCCCTTGCCGGCTACCTATTTTGACAATCAAGCCTCTCCCGTCTCTGGAAAGGGATGGAGCGGGTATATAGTTTCGGACAATCCGGCTGGTTTGCCTGAAGAAGCGATTGACATTAACGCACTGACTATCGTCTTATATGCCCATGGTGGTAGATATGCGAGAGGAGAAGCACGTATATATTTTTGGTATTTCAAGCGCTGAATTGCCGTCGCAAAGTCCAAAGGCATGAACACCATGTTTATTAGTGTAGAGTATCGTGAGTAAATCGCATCATACTGTCTTTTGAACGAATATATGTACTAACAGTCCAAACGCTCTCAGTAATGAGGCACCTCATCCTGCACAACGAAAGGCTTTCCTCGCCGCCTATAGCAATCTGCTAGCTATGAAAATACCGTCTTCCAATATCATGTTCATGGGTGACTCTGCTGGTAGAGGACTGAGTGTTCTATCGGCAATCCAAGCGCAGCAAGAACAGCTTCCGCAACCGGCAGGGTCAATCTTGATATCTCCTTGGGTGGATATGTCACTCTCTGCATATGAAGGTGGCAATCAAGCTGTCATGAGTGACTTCCTTGCAAACGCCAACACCGCAGTGCCTGTCATGGCCAAAGCATTCCTCGGTGTTTATTCAAGTACAGACGCAGAAGTCAATCCGCTTCTTCAGCCCCTGCAAAGAATAAACGGCCTAAATCCTCAGCGTGTATTTGTCCGTGCAGCTGAGTTTGCACTCTCAGACTCCAAAGACTGGGCATGCAGGTGTCAAGAAGCGGGTGTTAAATGGGAGTTGCATATAAAATGGGGACTGATGCATGTCTGGGCTTTAGGGTCCAACTTTATTGAACTAGCCTTGCGCGAAAAGACCGATACAAGAATGGTTGATTGGATTATTGAATGTATCCATGGAATGGAGGACTGATAGATCTTTCGAACGAATAGCGGCTACATTATGGATCGAATATAAGATGATTACTTCCCGGTATACAGTCGGGCGCACTGATCTGTTCGCCCCACCAAACCCGAATCCGAGCACTCATTTCTAAACCACTATAACACTACGATAACTTAACTAAAAAAGACCATTAAAGTCGCAAATTAATTATTTTATACCTAATATTTAGTCTAGTAGCCTCGCGCGAGTCTGTAGGCGTCTAGGCGTTATAGCATAGATGTGATAAGGCTATATATCAGCTCGTCGGGTATAGCTACCTATGCTCTTTTTAAGCAATCTTCAAACTTAACCCAGCTTTCTACTAAACAGATACTATCAATATCTAGGTTTTGCTAATATACCTCCTTCTTCAGAGCCCACTAGAGGTGCTTAATAGGGTTCAAATCGGGTGAGTAAGGTGGCTAATCTATAGTATTAATATTATAAATATCTAGCTAATCCTTTAAGATATTTAACTTATAAATTAGTGCGTTATCCTGCATAAAATGCTGCCCAGCTCTATAGATAGGTAGTAGGCCTTCCTCTAACGCTTGGGTATAACTGTTGGAGGTGTATCTATGCCGCTGAGCCGATATATCGCGTGTCATAATTACCAACGGGCTACGCCTAATCTGACCCCCCTCCGCTATCTATATCGCGCCCTAGACCATACGAGCTGGTTGCTAGGTAGTAGAGACAGCTTCTATTATCTTATAGGACTATTTTTATATAGGTAATCTCTATAACTATAGTATATTACGGCTAGATCCGCAGGCGATACTATACTCGTTACTAAATATTAGAGTATTACGATGAAATGCGAAGTTTCTCTAACGCTAAGCCTGATCTAGATACTTTTTTACTACTAGTATACTAATTTTTAGTTAATAAGCAGCTCTAAACTTATATAATCTATTATTAGCTAATACGCGTTAGATCATACGTCGTAATACTAGAGGCTGCCTATTAGTACTATATTATAGTCTAGCCTCCCGTATAAGATCTGCGTACTTCATAAATAGATTTTTCTTTACAATCTATAATAGCTAACAATAATCTCTACTAAATAATATTAGTTTCGAGCCTATCTAAAGTAGTAATTTAATGTGGTAATAATCTTTCTAGTAGGATATAGTTTTTTAGATATAGCGTTAAGTATAGTTAAGCGCATTAGTAATTTCAGCTATTAATAAACTACCTTTAAACTACGCAATAGTATACGTGCGCTAGGCCTCTAATAATTTATATTCTCGCATTCGATTAGCCGAAATATTAGTAGAAAAAGACGTTATATAGGTGCAGTAATATAGTGTTAAAGAAAAGAGAGCTCTATGAAAAACGCGTTGTTGTTCCGCGGCCCGTGCGCACGCGAACAGATCGCTGTCCTAGCACTGTAAACTTGATTCTACATCCTCAAGATAGCAATCCATAGACGAACACCTAATTGTGTTGCAAAGACCAACCATCGTCAATTGGCAGAATGATACCATTTATTCCACACGCCAAGTCTACAGACAGAAACAGTGCAGCACTCGCCACCTCATTCTACGAAATCGATCCCCCAGTTGTTCAGAGGTGCTGTTCAAGTATCGGGGCATTGCCAGTTTGACTCACAGTCAATGCAGGACATACCGCATTTACTCGAATGTATGAACCATTGCAGTCCTTTTCAAATGTCTTCGTCATGCCAACTCTACCATAAGTAGAAGCTGCAAGTATTGCATGGGCAGGATGTGTACCTAGGTTGCTATAAGGGATGATATTTACAATGGTCCGGGCTCCTGGGTTCGCAGGCTGCGATTGAGAGTAGCGAAGTTGAGCTCGACAACACAGCCACAACTATAGTCACAATGTTAATTGGAACTGTCTATCATTGTATAATACGGCGAAACATACTGCTCTTGAGTCTTGTAGACCACCTTTGAAATCAGTTGGCTCGAGATCAGTTGTTGGCTTTGACAACGCTATCGCTGGGATGACTTCTGAGCAATTCACACAATCGTTAATATCGCCGAATACATTACTGGCAGCCAAGATGGTTCTTTCCCAGTTCTCATCATCATCGTGATCAAGTCGTAAACTATGAATCTGGATGGAGCCTTTCAAACCCGGAATTTTCAAACTTTCCATAGCGGCGAGCGAGTCGTCGCAAACAATAATCCGCTCATAACCAGCGTCTACAAAGCTGTGGACTACTGCGGATCCAACAGCTAAGCACATATAAGTATGTAACACTATTGGGATAGGGGCGTCTGCAGGCTTACTAGTGCCAGCATTGGTTGTCAAAGCTACCCAGGATATCGTAGGTCCATCTTGTTCACTCACTTTCTTTAACGACAGCCACGACCTCAATCTGTTCGTGCCGATATATGGGTTCGACCTAAGAATGTTCGGACGTTGAAATCACTATTGGGCGGAGCTGAGTGCACCACGTTTTTCGTCAGCCCGTAGCAGAACACAAGTCACTGGAGTTACACAAAGTGCCGTCGGACCGAGAGTCAATCAAAAGCCATTTTCGGCGCGTAACAGAACGCTTACCCCGAACAGGATACTTGGCGTTTCCACAGGGTTTAGAGCGGTAAAGGATCACTTGGAACATAACCGCTTCTTCATAATGAACACAAAAACTCACACTGGAAGTCATTCACCTTTGTTGCTCCAGCGCGACTAACTAGTCATGCCTGGTTCATTGAAAGGATCCGCTCTCATCACCGGTACAGCGTCAGATAATGGCCGGATTTTCCCTATAAGGTGACACTCTTATCGATTTTGATGATAACAAGTATTTTAGGCATTTGTCGGGGCGCCGCTATCGCTTTTGCGCAAGCAGGTTGTCAGAGATTTCTTCTCGGCGATGTAAACGAAGCAGGTCTACATAGTACTCGGGAAGTTATTATAAAACAGGCCCCGAGTGCAGATTTAGATATAGCTTATCTTGATGTTACAGACGAAGTGTCTGTGGATGACTTCGGGGCCAGATGTGTAGCTCGATTTGGCCGGCTCGACTACGTATGCAACATTGCCGGCATATGTCCACCTCGAACGCCGGTAACAGACGTGGATGTTGCAACCTATGACAAAGTAGTTGCCGTCAATTTATATGGTGTGAGTCGCGTTCTCTGTTTGCTATTCAGTGCATCTGCTGATGACTCCATAAGACATTTTTATGCCATCCCGCCGAGATCCGCCAGATGCTCAAGCAGCCACTGTCGGAGGACAAGTGTCGGGGATGTATCGTATCTACGTCTTCCATGGCTGGCCTTAATGCTTCTCCCGGTGCCTCTCCATATGCTAGTACAAAATTTGGGATCATTGGGCTTGTGAAGACTGACTCTATGGATTATGGGGCACACGGTATTCGTGTGAATGCTTTCTGTCCTGGTTATACAGACACGCCAGCACTAGAAGCTATCTCAACGGCTGATCAACGAGCGGCTCTAGGCGCTAGCATTCCGCTCCAGCGTGTAGGCCAGCCAGTGGATGTTGGTCGTGTTTTCGCGTTCCTCTGCTCAGAAGAGGCAAGCTATATGCATGGTACAGCATACCTAGTCGTTGGAGGAGCTATGGCGTATCGCAAATAAATGAACAGAACAACCATTATTAGACCCTCTCCCCCGGACTCTCTTGTCGCATTGCGCTACCACTTTGACTGAAATCTAAGCACTGACATTCACATTGCACTCATTATTAGTATGTTTTTACGCATCATGGTTATGTTGCGCCAATGTGCCAATCTAGCGCAAGTGGTATTGAGGACGAAACGTCATGCAGGATCTATATGTACAGGCTATTCGAAAGGGTTTGCATTGTAGGTAGTAGAGCGGACTGAGCACATTACCATTCTAGGTAGACTATCGTCTGGTATGGCAAAGAAGGTTTTGGAACAGATGCGAGTGAGTCAGTCAAAGCTTCCCTTTCTAGTATCAATTGATATACGTTTTCGCCTGGTTTTTTTTGCCACATCAAGCAAAAACGGCCCTATGTAAAGAGGCTTTCTCTCAATTGTACATTCAATCAGCTAATACAACGTCGAATCAGTCTAAGAATATACAGGCTCTTCTACAATGTCTGTGGATAGATCTTCAGGCCATGTTGGTCAGTCAACACCGTTACCTCTTGTCCCAACGTTGTAGCCTAACTCTATGCTGCCAGTCGGATATTGGACTACGGGTTTAACCACTTGCACCTCGATATTCAAAGCCTTACTTAGCCTCCTCTCGAAGAATTCGGGGAGAAATAGTACATCGTAGGAATGTCGTTTGATCATTCCTAGATATGCCGGTACTGTCACGTTCATGATCTCGTAATGTCGGAAAACATGCCGCCCGTTTCTAGTCCACACATCCTCCCAAACAGGCTTTGGATACTCTCCGCAGATATCTGCAAGCCAGCTGTTGTGATGATTTAGAGCAATGTCAACCACCACATACGATCCACCTTGTGCTCCACGTTCTGTCAAGGCTTGTATCACCGCAGTACATCCTATAACACCCCCCACTGTCGCCGTCAGCTTCTCGCAAGTCACTCATAGAGAATGTAGCAGTCGTACCAGTGATTGGAATTTGGCCACACTGGAGTGCAAGGCTCATTGAGACCCATTGCTTGTCCAAAGCCAAAGGATATCCCTGTGTTCTACCGCCCCCGTTTTGTTCAGCAAAGGCTCTCGAGTCGTACGTTTAAACTGTTTCTTACCGCGTCACTGATAGGCTGTCATCCACTCCTATATTTCCAAGGACCATGCCAGCCCTAGCTACAGTTAGCTGGATCAATCTTTTAGCCTGGAAAACTTACATAAGAATTCTCACGGGCATATATAATACCTCTTGCTTGCGACCGACACATCTCCATGACCTTTTCCATACCAAAACCATATTTCTCGGACCTTCCAGGTCGATACCCATCCACCACAACATCGAAATCCTCCATAAGCCGCCGCAGACGATCGTAGTCCTCGGCTTTTCGAAGGTCCAGAAACGCATTCCATTTTCCCCAGTTTAGATAAGGATGCATGCCAGTGAAGTAGGGTAGGTGTAGAGCTACCACTCGCATGACACTGGCGCCCAACTCAGCCAGGCCACGTGAGATAGAAGGCCCTGCTATCACACGCGTTAGGTCCACAACTTTCAATCCGGCCAACGGCCTTCGAAGTGATGTGTCTCTAGTTGATGGTCACCAGCTAGCTGCCTGTCCAGCAAATCTCATATGATGAACTTCGTACAAGGCTGTGTTTGTATTTGCTCGTCCATGTTCGCTCATCAGAAAATCCTCTCGTTTCCGCACAATTGTGCAGGCTTGTTTTGCATCTTCGTTTAGTAGTACTTCAAGACCAGTCGCCGTACGCTCTGAACATATCCCCATGTATGGTTTGTAAGATTCTGGTAGGACAGTGATCTCTGGCAAATCCTCCGGCATGCCAAGTGCAGCAATGGTTGGGCCAGGATTCAAACTGCCTTCACGTCATAGTTAACGATGGAGCTCATCCTTCACTCTGCCCATATTAATTACCGTGACCATGGATGAACTGGTCGTCTGATGTTTTATATATGTTTGTTGCCGCTCGCCGATACAGCGAGGAGGCCATGCTATGGATGTCTTGTGGCGGGAATAGTTCTGCATATTTCGCGTTAAGTTCCCTGACAGGTGTTGGGTTCACCTGAAATCCTTCCCGAGGTTCGACAGACACCAGAAGCGAGCTCATAAACAATCATTGAGCATCATCCCTATGACTTGACTTTTTTTTTCTCTGTTTGCTATATAGCGTATCAGATCAATTATCTCAGAAAAGAATGGCAGGCNACACCCTAACCTGCCGAAATCGGGTATTAAAAAAATGACTACAGTCAAAGTAAAAAATCGGGTGAGGGTCTGAGAGACTTACGTCTGCGAGACCATGCTTCAAACCCTTAGGAATAGTTTAGTAATACTACTAAAATATTATAAACCTCTTAATGGGTATATAACAATAAGGCACAACTCTATTAGGTACGACAACTATAACACGGTTGCGACGAAGGTAGCAGAACAGCGAACTACGGTTGCGATAAGATAATAATACAACGAACTATAGTTGTAATAAGGACACGTAGTGCAGCGAAGCTCTCTAATGCCTATAAATTCGCTATGTTGGTCTGTCTATCTCATCCCATCCCATCTTATCCCGACCACGGATCAATTCCGACACCATATCTATCTGTTTAAAAATGCGATTCTTCTCCCAGCTGCGATCCTGGTAGTCATCTCGTGCCAAGCCGAGCCCGTCAGAAAAGCTATCCATCCCTGTAGGGCTCTCTTCTACCGCGATGATTGCCTTTTACTCTCCTCCGCCTAAGCATATACTAAGAGATCTAAAACAATACGTATCCGTCTAGTTAAAGTTTAATAGATCTGTGCTAAAACGGTGGTGCGGACCCCTCCCTAAT